AGGGTCACTACACCTTCCACAGACTGGGTAACCGCATTGTAGTCTGAGTGGGGCTTATTATGGTCTGTAACTGGGAAGCAGCTGGAGATGTTTGTTTTGTTGTTGTTGTGATGTTTGTTTCTCTTGTAGCCAATAAAGAAGAAGTTTTCCAGGTGGCCATCCCTCGCTTCCACATGATCTGCCCCCCCTTCAGAGAGCCGGTGGTTCGGGCGGTAAAGTCAGCAATTAAACTACAATAACTACATAAACTAATATATTATATATTATATATTATATATTGTATTTGGTCTAATAGTTGGTGCTATATTAATGTTTGAATGTCTTTATTGACGATCCTTCGGGGCTAACACTCCTGTTGCTGTCTAATCCCTCTGCAGCAGAAGGCATCCACAAGTTACACGTCTCGCTTTGACGACCACGACGACGACGGCGAGTACTGCGACGGAGACGGCGACGACTTCGGCGACCTGAGAGGAATCAACATGGCTGCCTTGGAGGGAGCGTGGTGCCCTCGACACATCTGACCTCCGCCCCGGGTCCCCGACACCCCTGATGGAAACCACCCCAAACCAGATGGACTGTCAGTTACTCAGGCCTGACTGATGACACTAAAAAGCTCCTCGATGGCCTGAGTGATTGACAGACAGCAGGGGATTCTGGGACACGTAGTACCAACCAGAGCCATACACGGGACAGAATCCCGTCGACTTCCAGCTGTCAAACAAACAAACAAACAAACAAACAAACAACAAAAAAATGTGAATGAAGTTTTATAGAAAATATCTTTTTCTTGTTTAAACTTTTCTTGTTCCAACACAGAACTGTTGGATAAGCTCGGACAATAAGGACGGGACAACGGCGCCCTAAAGGATTATCTATGAGCGACAGAGCCGCGACACGAAGCGGCCGCCGCAACTTCCAGTTTAGATGTAAAACAAAGCCGAGACTTGTGGGCCAGTCGAGTCTCTTGAAGCTGTTTTCTAACGTTCGGCAACCCAGAGCTCAGAAACCCCCCCGCCGCCAACGTGAACCTGGTTCTGGTTCTAGAGCGCCACCTCATATGTCTCCAACATTGTTGTTACCAAGGTTACAAGCATACTACTGATTTCTCATATCAAGGTGCTACAATGCTAACTGTGTGCTACCTAGCCGGTGACCCCGATACATTTTCCCACCAACCCTAAATGTTCTGCCATTTGGTGCTTGGCGGGTGTTAAGTGACCCTTTATAAGCCCCGCCCCCTTTTCTCGTGCTATATGCTAGGCTAATTGTGTTGGAATAACAGCCACATTTTCAACATGGTTAAAAGACACACACACACACACACACACACACACACACATCGCGTCTTAAGTTTTTTTTTTAGCAAAACGTTAGCTAGATAGTAAGCTATCGTTTTGCTAACATTAGCTTTCAGATGTGACTATATTTATAAAAATGTCTCTTTTATCTTTTATCTCCAAAATGTGGTTGTCTGTCCAATATAGGTTAGCTTAGCATGTAGCATATCTAAGTACAGGAGAGGAGGAAGTTGACCGAGGCATGCTCAACTGTGATTGGAGCACAGAGCAAAAAGAGGCGGGGCTTAGAACGAGCCACTTTGGGAACATTGTAAGTCACATATCGTTAGCATTTAGCTCAACGCTGGTCGATAAAGCCTGTGGTTGGTTCCAGTTGTGATGATGTCACATCTGCTCGACCAATCACGGCAGAGCGGTCGCTGAACCGCTGGATGGAGATCAGTGGAAAGAGTTCCTGCAGTGTGAAAGCTTTTGATCATGTGTTCTGATTATTCAGGAGGAACTGGGCTTTTATTTTGGTGAGGTTGTTTTTTCCTGCTCATGTTTTTGTGCATCACGTTGTTTTCTTCTTCTTCTTCTGCGCCGGAGGACGTGTCGTCACTCTGATGTGATTGCTGGGTTTGTTTTCTATGTTTTTGGGTGAATAAATAACAAATATTCATCGCTGCAGACTCTCTGGTTACTGTCACATGATCACGCCGCAGGAAACAGGTAAAAACACACACACACACACACACACACACACACACACACACACACACACACACAATGTAACCTGCTCCTTTATACGTCCACTCTGTAGTATACAGTCATTAATGTTTTAGATATATAGGAACATAAAATACAATATTCTGCACTATGAGCGAATTGTTTTGTATTCTTAGTGATAAAGTATTTCTACACTGTAGTATTATATATAATATATAATACTCTAATACTAATATTATATATATAATACTATGAGACCACAAGGAAACTCTTAAACACAAATAATGAATCTGAACATAAATATATACTTATATGAATATGTTGCACTCAGTATGATGTGTGTATTTATCTGCAGTGTATATCACACACACCACTCATAAATCAATTATTAATATTCTCAGTGTATTTTTCACATTTATTTAATTATGTGTAATTCTTGTGCGACACCTGTAATAAACCTTTGACCTGCAGGGGGCTCCAGTGAGCACCAGGACACACCAACCTGTAAAGGAAGTTGTTTTTAGGCCTTTTTAAGAGAATAAAAGCACATTAATTAAAAAAAGAACTTTATTCAGATGAAACATTTCAGTCGTCATCCTCTTCCTCCTCCTCTTCCTCCTCCAATATCACCCTCCCTGTTCTCCTCCTTTTCCTCCCCTCTCGTTCTTCCTCCTCGTTCTCCTCCTCCTCTCCCAGCCCTCCTCCTCGTCCTCGTCCTCCTCCCACCCCCCCTCCTCCTCCTCCTCCTCCCCCTGCGCCCCCGTCCTCCTCCTCGCGGGCGTTGCAGCGGCTGCAGTGCCTCCTGAAGCCCCCCAGGAAGTGGGACCTGAAGCAGCAGAAGGGGCAGGCGTAGCGTCCGGGCCGGTGAGCCGCCCTCACGTGCTGCTGCAGCCGGCTGGGGAGGAAGAAGGAGCACTTGCAGTCCTTGCAGCTGTACGGGCGCTCCACGTCGTGGCTGCGCACCACGTGACTGATGGCGAAACCTGCGAGGACGTGCACAGGGACAGAACGTTAGTACAACCTGTTCAAAGACACAGAGTCACATGGTGTCTCTCTCCCTCTGCCTGTGTTGTATCACAGCCTCTCTCTGTAGGTTTGTTTCCATAGCCGGTCTGCTCCGACTGAAACTGCTGTTTTTATCATCTACGTCGGTGAATTAAGGATTTATTTCCACCAAACCAGAGTTGGTGATTGTTGGAAACACTAACAGAGACGGTTTTAATGAGTTTGATTCTGGTTCTGTCCACTTTGAATGAAGTTACGATGATCTGAAGGTAAAATGAGTGTTTGTGTCTCTGGAGTCTGGTGGAGAGTGATAGTGATTTTACAGGTTAAACTCTGAACAGTATCACAGTTTGAAGTGTTGTATATTTATCTGTACACAGTGGAACCAGCACTGGTACCTTTGAGTTTGGTCTTCCAGCCGCAGATCAGACAGACGAAGCGGTTGGAGATGAAGCGGACAACTTTGGCGGTGGCCTCCATCTCCTCCTTCAGCAGCTCCCCGCTCAGCCCCGCGACCACCTCCTCCTCCTCCGCCCCGCTGCTCTGCGCCTGTTTGGGCGTGGTGGTGTCCCGTCTGATGGCCTGGGCGGCGTACGCTTTGGGGATGTCATGTTTCCGCACCACGTGGTTGACGCCCAGACCTTTCAGCTTGTTCTTCCAGCCGCAGATGAGGCAGCGGTAACCGGCGCCGTCAAACGCCAGCACGCTTTCGTCTCCTTCGCCTTCCACTTTAACAGACTCCTGATGTCCCTCTCCTTCCTCCTCCTCCTCGCCCTCACTGCTCCTCTTTCTCTTTAGAGTGTCTTTCTCTCCCTCCTTCTCGTCCTCCTCGCCATCCTCTCCCGTCTTCTCGCTGCCGTCGTCTCCCCCTCCCGCCTCCCTCTCGTCCATGCAGTGTCTGGAGATGATGTGCTTGTAGAGCTTGGTGAAGTCTCGGCTGGTGAAGAAGCAGTCCGAGCAGTGGAACAGGCGGGCCGTGCTCTGGTACATCATGATGTTGCCGAGGCGACCGACCACCACGCCGTCCAGGCAGGCAGGGTGGGAGGCCGCCATGTGGGACAGCTGGTGGGCGTGGCTCTTGGAGAAGTGGCCGCAGTGGGGGCACTGGAGGTGAGCTGCGACGCCGCCGCCCACTTCGCCGCGGGTTTGTATGATGACAGACATCGCCGCTTCTACGGTGGCTGGACAAAGAATAAAGTTGAACACATTCAAACACGCTCGTTAATGGTGAAAGTAGAGAACGTGAATCCCTTAATCCAAGTTTTGTGTTAAATTACTGGTTTCTGTTAATGGAGTTCTGTACAAAAACAAAATGTATGTAATTTATCATATTTATCATATATGATAAAGAAAATATAGCCGAAATGTACAATATGTAATTTCTGTCACTAGAGGGTCTCTCACGTCAAAACTACAACAAAAGATGAAGTGTGATGGTCAAATTCAGTCAAATTAATAGAAACCAAACTGGCCGCACTCTTCATCTGCTGTTGACAACAATATTTAATAATAATGATGAATAAAAACAAGATGAATTGAAGGTCAAAGTAATAGTTAGTTGACGTCTTATAATTAATGGACAGAAACTTTGAATGAAAATAATCCTTCATTTAAAACTGGAGATTTTCTTTATGTGGTTTGGTGTGAATTGTCTTTAATTAGAACTCAGTTGTGATTGATCCATTATGAAATAAAATATCAGTTCCAGTAGAAAACAACCAGAGCGAGTAGAACGCGCTATTATTAGTTATTTATTTTAATGTGTTTTTCACATTACAAATGAAAAAAGTCAATGTCACTTAAAATTACTGAAGCTACTTAATTGTATATCTAAATATGTAATTCAGGCAGTATTGTATAAAACTGACTTCCTGCTGTGTTCATTGTCACATTACTCACTGATGCTTTTATTGTGAAAGGATTAAAAGATGAGTTCAGTAAAAATAACTTTATTGGAAACATTTTCTGAAACAAAGGGTGTAACAGTGGATTTCTCCTCATCAATAACAATATTGTCTTTATTGATTATCTTCGTCTCGTCTGCTCTCGGCGCTCTGCTGTCGGAGCCGAGCGAGCGCCTCCCGTCCTCTGGCGCAGGGCTGTCCGTCCCCGAAACAGCGAATGAGGTCGTCCTCGCTGCCGTCGCTTTTCACCGACAGTCCGCAGACCTTGAAGGATTCTCTGATCAGGTCCTCGTCCAGGCCGTCCCAGGCCGCGATCACCCAGTCCACCAGCAGGCGGCGGGCGGGGAGTTTTAAGTAACCGGCTGCTGTGTACTCCTTATCGGCGACCCCCGCCACCCACCGCTCGTAGGCGTCCTGCAGACTCCTCTTGAACGGCTGGTTCCACATCACGTCGGTGGCTTGGATGTGTTTGGCGCAGCCTCTCGGGATCACCGCCGTTGTGATGTCGTAGCCGCGTTTCAGTTCGGCTCTGGTGGTGCCGCTGATGTGGCACCGGTACGAGTCCCACACCAGGAGCCGCGGCTCCATGTTGAACCTCCCCAGCACGCGCTGCAGCCAGTCGGCGGTGAGGGTGTCGTTCATGAAGCCGTTGGCGGATGTGGTGAGGACCGCGCCAGAGATCTGCTGTCTCAGCACTGCCATTTCCTCGTCAGCGCCCCTGAAGGCGACGTACGGACGCAGTTTGGTGCCGTCTGCCTTGGCGGCGAGGACAACGGTGAGGTGGCTTTCCTTGCGCCCCCTGGTGGTCTGAGGATTCTCGCCACTCGTGGGGTACACGACGTCGAAGCAAAGCGCCGTCTCGTCCATCACGATGATGTCCTTCTCCAGAATCCCCCTGGACCTCACAGTCTTCCCGATGTGGTCCACGAAGGAGACCAGTTTCGCAGAGAGTTGCTCCGTCAGCGTGACAGGGTGTCGAAAGGTGGTGGCGTTGCGCTCGAGAAACTTTTGTAGCCAACCCGTGCTCGCCACAAACGTCTTCCCGCCATCGCTCACCGACGGGTAGATCTCCAGCGCCTTCTTCTTTATCATGTTTCTGGACACTCGGCAGTGTTCTTCCTTCATGGAGGAGATCCACTCCGCCAGCCGCCGCTCCAGCTCCACACTCAGCTTCTTCCTCCCGCCCCCGGTGAGCCGCGCCCGCCGCCTGTCCGCCAGCAGCAGCTCCTCCCTCTGTTTCTTCCAGTCTCGGACTCGCTTGGCATCGATGTTAAAGTGCCTCGCCGTTTTCTCTCCCGAGTTTGTCTCCGCGAACCGCAAAACTCTCTCTTTGAACTCAAAATCAAATTTCCGTCTGGAGGCCATGTTCCTGGAGTTTTGGAAAAACGCGTATGGAGCTTCAAATGTGGCTATCGCGATCTTGTGGCGTCCGCAGGGACTGAAAAGGGACAATAACACTTGAGATGAGAAACCGAGAACAACAAAGTGCATTGTTCAGTCCCTCCAGGAAGAGGTCACAGTTCACCAATCACACCCAGCCACACTAACTGTTTGTGCAGTTTTCACTTTCTGCCATGAAATCCTGGAGGGACTGATTGTTGAATATATATTATATTATATAAACTGAACAGATCAAATAATGGTGTTTATTTTCGACTTTAAGACGGACAGATGAATAATCGTTAGTTACCGCCCTGCATTATGTTTCTCTCACCGACTTCTGGTCGATTTATTTTCGACTATTATGAACTTTATTTACATCCGGACTCATCTCTAACGATACTGTCTCTGCAGTAAGTTCACTGTATCACATTATTATACACACATTATTCCGCGGTCTGAACAACAGTGTAACACATTGTAATAACAGTAAACAATAGCAGCGGACGGCAGCTAACAGGCTAACTCTCGGCTAACGCGCTAAAACCAACCTTTAAATGTGTAAATCCAACCCAGCTGCCTCTACCGCCGGATGGGTTGTGTCTAATAAAGCTGACGTGAAAATCTCTGCGCAGAATAATTTAAATTAATCAAATCTTCGTGTTTTGGACGGAACTCACCGACTGGCGCCGGCCCGCTTAGACGATAGCGCTCGCTTCCGTGTTTACCTCCGTTACAGCCAATCGGCTCGCTTCAGCGGTCTTTGCCACGGACCAATCACAACGATCCCGTTAACCAAGCTCTCGCACAAGTCGCTGTTATCGCGAGATCGCATTTAAACGTCCAATTCAGAGATTTTTCAGTTGTAATCATTTATAAACGCAACAACAATCAAATAAATCAATATGCATCCTTATTATTACAAAGAACAAATATAACCAATAAGCACTTTACATAAAGTAAATAGATAATAGTAATTTATAGATTTTAAAGCCGCTGATTGGTCAACTAAAAATCTATAGTCTGTTATGTAACAGTATTACACAGCATCCTTTTTATAGATGATTCATATGCTACTGAGTAACTGGGTTATACTTGTGTGTGTTTTTGTGTGTGTGTGTGTGTGTGTGTGTGTGTGTGTGTGTGTGTGTGTGTGTCCAGGGCACATTAAGGTGATTAATGAAGCTATTTCTGTCTGCAGGTGCAGATACCGACTGCATGTGAGGACAACAGGACTACTTCTCCCATCAGCCATTTCTGCATGACATCCTCTGTCAGTCAGGTGTGTGTATGTGTGTGTGTGTGTGTGTGTGTGTGTGTGAGACTGCTCATTAATCATGCAGCCCTCTAATTGGCTGCTCGGGGAGATGCTTGGTGTGTTGCCTAGCAACGGTTGATGTCAGAGGTAGAAACAGCCACAATAACAAACATCAGATTACATTTATTACCTCGCAGCAAAGTACATTTACTCAAGTACAAATTGAAGGTACTTTATTCATTCTGTTACTTTAAACTTTATAATCCCTTCCAGATAACTCCAGCTTAGCTTAGCTACAGTTAGCTAGCTGGATGCCCCAATAGAAAGCCATTATTTATTGTTGGCTAAAATCAGAATACATAAGTGGGTTAGGGTTAGGGTAGGGGACGCTAACATTGCCGTTCACTTATTGGCAATACAATCTGGCTCCTTTAAATCCATTTTTCAGATACAGTTCGACTTCAGTACGAGATCTGAATACTTGTTCCACCACTGAGGAGGGGATGATGGGAGAGAGGAGGTTGGGGTCGAGCGAGGGTTGGTTTGAGAGGAGAGAGAGAGAGAGCGAGAGAGAGAGAGCGAGGAGGGAGGGGGCTTTTATTGTGGTAGAACGAGGCAGAGACAGACAGGGAGAGAGAGAGAGAGAGAGGAATCTGTGTTTGAACTTGTGTTTTCAGTCTTTGCTGCTGAGATTCACTTTCACACACACATACACACACACACACACACACACACACACACAGAGTGAGCGACGGCGGGCGAGCGAGGACGACATGCTCTGCTTAAAAGGTGAGAGAGAGAGAGAGAGAGAGAGAGGTAGAGCGAGGTAGGGGATGCATAGAGAAGTTTAAATTAATAGAGACGCTGCAGATAAACGAGTGTGTGTGTGTGTGTGTTCAGATCTAGGTCATTTTGTCCGCTAGCTGTCAGGTCTCACACACACACTCACTGTTATCTCCATAACCTTTTCTTTTTGGTGTGTGTGTGTGTGTGTGTCTTGTCGGTGGCAAGAAAGAGGGTCGAGCGAGCTTTATTCTGAACAGAGAGAGAGAGATTAATGGAGGGAAAGTGTTGACTAGATTTAGTATTTTGCAGATTACAGCCGCTGCCGTCCTTTGTGCTTTCTTTCTGCAACTGTTACTATGGTTACTGCGACTACAAGTAATACTACTACTAATACTACTAATACTACTAATACAACTAATACTACTAATACTACTAACACAACTAGTAGTTCTACGTCCGTCACTGCAGTTGCTGCTGCAGCTGAAATGGTTGCTGTGTTATTTTCTGTCGAAATTGAATCTTTGTGGCTCGTGGTAAAAGTGGAAGTTTTGGGTCAGGAGGCATTCTTGAGTTTAACACGTGTGTGTGTGTGTGTGTGTGTGTGTGTGTGTGTGTGTGTGTGTGTGTGTGTGTGTGTGTGTGTGTGATCACTGCCGGCCTGTCGAGGCAGGCTGAAACATCCCATTCAGCTTCCCAAACACAGCTGTTTTCTCTGCGTTGATGTTGACTGGATGGATCAACGGTGGGCAGCTTTAACGTCCTCTGTAATGGAGACAACAGCTGCAGGAACATCTGTGTGTTAATGTGTGTTAATGTGTGTAATATCACAGTTATCTCACACATTTAAAGTCAACAGGCCGTCTGATTGGTCCGCTGTAATGTAGGTTACATGTTTCGGTTCTGTTAGCTGCAGAGCTATCAGCAGATTCACTAGTAACCCACAGGGCCTCATATAATTCAGTTAAAGTCTGTTTCATTGTCTCTTTTTCTCTTAATTTGCACAATTAGAGACTTTATTTATCCCCATTAACATCCTTTAAAAGACTCCAATGCATTAAGTTTCATTAGTTTTATCATATGTTGTTCACAGGAGCAGCAGGACAAACCTTGTCGGCCTGTTCATGACACCAGAACTTAAACTGAAGATAGATGAGTCAGGTGACTGCAGCATGACTCCCTGCACTCTAAACCAATCAACCAATCAGCCAATCATTAGATCAATATGACTGAGACTCACACAGGAAGCAAGTACAGTTGTGATGATGGAGAGAATTAGCTCCAGAGACCAAAAAGCTGTAAACACGTGTGTTTGTGCAGTTTAATACGGAGCCTTATGGAGACTCACTGCTGGAGCCTCCAGTGGCCGTTAGAGGAACTGCAGTCGGTGCAACAGTGCCGCTCAGTAAAGCTCACACATATAATAATGTTGTTCTGTGTTCGACCTCGTGTCGTCTGATTCTGTGCTCCAGATACAGAATTACCCAGAGTGACACAGTAATACAACATGTGGTGTGTTGAGGTAAATACCTGTCCCTCACAGGCCATCTGCAGACCTGGATAATCCCTGTTAGCAGATTAGAGCCGGAGAGAGGAGAGGAAACACAGCAGGCAACGCTTCAGAGGAAGTATCACCCTTACTGTTGACGTGCTGTTGAACTAGAATCATTGTTTTGGGAAATTTTTGCCTTCGTTGTTCGGTGGAAACAAAGTCTGATGGTTTTATTGTGAAGGAATGAAGTTGCTCGCTGAAAGTTTGGCTGAAAAACCTTCAGCAGTGTCGACGTCTACGGGACAAATCTGAAGTCTGCTTTACTCATATTTTGGACATTTTTTTGAGAGAGAACTGAAACACTTTTGAGCTTTTGGACATGCTTTTATTGTGAAGGCTTTTCTTTGTCAACAGTTTGAGGCGTTTTCAGACGGACATAAGTTTGTTTTTCTGAAGCAGAATGTTTGTGAATCTTTCTGTGGTTTTATTGTGAAAAATGTAATTTAGGGATTTATTCAGAAGATCTCTGGGCTTTTATTGTGAAGGGTTTAATAACTGCTGCTCCTTTTAGAGTAAAAAAGTGAAAACTTAGTTTTTTTTAAGGAAAGACCTTTTCTGGAAGGACTGAATACTGTTTGGACTTTTATTGTGAAATTAAATTGAAACAGGCTTTTATGATGAAAGGTTGGAAATTCTTTGGGGCTTTTATTGTGAAAATATGGTTACAGAGGGGATAGTTTTTGTCGTTTTCATCGTCTCTGATCTGTCCTGAGGGCGCACATCCAACATCCAATCGGGTATCAGGACGCAATGATCTCATATGTTGAGTGTCTGAGTGGCGAGGGGGCGGGGCCTGGCGTGGCGTCACGCTGCTGGAACACGAGTCCCGATGAAGAGCGAGATGAGCTTCTTCCACGCAAGATGGCCGCCCTGCAGCCCAAGACAGAGGGCAGCCTGCGTCGGCGCCTTCTCAGCGCCAAAATCCACCAGCACCACGACGCCATCTTGGGCCTGAACCGGCCGGGGACGCCATCAGGTGACAAAAAGCCCCTCCCACCTCACCTGCAGTATCCGGGCAACAGCCCTTGGTACCGCCGCCAGCACCTTCCGCCGCGACCCCACGTCCACCCCTCTCTTCCCCCAGAGGCTCATGGGAAACTGTTCCTCGCTCCAGAAGCCTACGGGAAACCGAACCCGCGGGCCCCGGCCCTTCAGCTGCCGCGGTCCGCCTGCCCGGTCCTCACCCAGCGGAGCCGAACCGGTTCCTGCCCCCCCACCCCGGAGCCCCGCCCCGGGTACACCCTGCCCTCTGTCAGCAGCCCGCCCTCCTTCAGGGAGCCGGAGGTGCCGCCGCAGTACCGCTACCGGCCCAGCAAGACTCGCAAGACCAGGTTCTCCTGCTTCAGAAGAGGGCGGAGCTCCGGACTGGAGGCCACACAAACCACGCCCCTTCTACATAAAGGTACTGCTAGGAATTCTGGGTAGTAGATTATGTCTGTGTACTGCTAGTACTCAGTCCCAGCTGGTGTCGCTCTCTGTGGTCCTGAATGGTCCCCCTTTAGTTCATTAGCTCTCTGAGGTCCTGAATGGTCCCCCTTTAGTTCATTAGCTCTCTGTGGTCCTGAATGGTCCCCTTTAGTTCATTAGCTCTCTGTGGTCCTGAATGGTCCCCCTTTAGTTCATTAGCTCTCTGTGGTCCTGAATGGTCCCCCTTTAGTTCATTAGCTCTCTGTGGTCCTGAATGGTCCCCCTTTAGTTCATTAGCTCTCTCTGGTCCTGAATGGTCCCCCTTTAGTTCATTAGCTCTCTGTGGTCCTGAATGGTCCCCCTTTAGTTCATTAGCTCTCTGTGGTCCTGAATGGCCCCCTTTAGTTCATTAGCTCTCTGTGGTCCTGAATGGTCCCCCTTTAGTTCATTAGCTCTCTGTGGTCCTGAATGGTCCCCCTTTAGTTCATTAGCTCTGTGTTGTAGTCAATGATCTCAGCTAGCCTGGTTTTGTCCTAACTAACCTGCCTCAGCCCCCTTTGGTCTTGATGGTTCCAGGTAGCCCGGCAGGCTCTGTCGGGCCCTGAATGGTCCATAGGTACCTAATGTTGGTTTGGTCTCAGCTGGCATTCGTTGGCTCTGAATGGTTCCATCTACTTTTATTAGCTCTGTTTTGTCCTAATTACTCTCAGCTAGCTAAATTTGGCTCCATTTGGTCTGGAATGGTTTTAGCCTGGTTTGGCTCGGTTTTGTCGAGTAATCAATACTCCCATTATTAAAGCATCAATCAACCTGATCAGCCTTCAGCAGTCAGCTAGTGTCTCTGTAGTGGAGACTAAACGTTAACAATGATCCATATCAGCAGTTTGAATCCAACTAAAAGCTCCCTGCACCAAACTCCCTTTAAGAAATATCACATTTTAACAATTCCTAACGTGTTCGTAACAACACGTAACTCTAGAAACACGAGCTAAAGGCCGTCATATGTCCACAGTCTGACTGTCAATACGGGATCAATATCATCCGTAAAGAGTGTGTGTGTGTGTGTGTGTGTGTGTGTGTGTGTGTGTGAGGGGATTAGCTGCAGCTCCATATGCTAGGCTAATAGCTAATTCCTGTGGGCTTTAAAGTGCAACAGCTGCCACCTGTTAGCGTCGCTACCTGTTAGCGTCCCGCTGGTGTTTGACCAGGTGCGACTTTATGTGACCGCGCTGTCATAAGGTGATGGTCACACAGGAAGTCCCGCCCCCCTCCTCTCCTCTGATTGGACGGCAGAGGAAGCAGACCTTCTTTTTTTTTTCCGCTCAGAGTTTTATATTTATAATCTGTGTGACATAATGTGACCTACTTCCTGTCTAATTAATTAAACTAATTAAAACAGTGGAGAGGTGACAACAGACAGACAGGCAGGCAGACAGGCAGACAGGCAGACAGATGGAGAGACAGACAGACGTAATTAACTGCTCCACTGGCCCAGATAGCTGGCCCAGTTTGTGACTGGTGATGAAGGTGATGATGAAGGTGATGCCACCATTTAAAACTGTACTGCTAATGTTAGCTAGTTAGCATTATTGCTAGCAAATTACTATCTGAGCTGTTTGTTTTTGTATATTTACGGACTTTTTTTTACTAGTTTGAGATTTGAAAGCATCAAAATATACTTTTAAAAAAGGACCAAAAGTAAAAGTACTCATTAGATTAATATAATATTAATATAATATTAATATTTAATATAATGTTAATATCATATTAAATATTATATTAAACATTATATTAAATATTATATTAAATATTAATATAATATTATATTATTGACACATTTGAGCTTCCGTACAGTTCAGTCCCCAAAAAACCTTTATAACAGAGACTGAAATGTCCTCACAAAGATAGAAAGTCAAGAACACACAGAATAAAAGATGAAAGTGTGTGTGTGTGTGTGTGTGTGTGTGTGTGTGTGTGTGTGTGTGTGTGTGTGTGTGTGTGTGTGTGTGAATGCAGTATTTGTGGGTAACCTTCATCACCTGGCGACACACATGAAGGACACACACGTGTGCTGGCTTCCTGCCAACATGACGTGAGTGTGTGTGTGTGTGTGTGTTTGTGTGAGTGTGTGTGTGTGTGTGTGTGTGTGTGTGTGTGTGTGTGTGTGTGTGTGTGTGTGTGTGTGTGTGTGTGTGTGTGTGTGTGAAATAAAGGGGTGAGTGAGATGAAGAGAGGGAGGGAGGTGGGAGGAGAGAGAGGAGCTGCATTAGTGCTGCCGCTGTCTGCTGCAGCCTCAGGAGTGAGTGTGTGTGTGTGTGGCGTCGTTATGGTTCTGATCGGAGCGGCGATCAAATCCGTCCTGAAATATCTGAACAGGAGTCGAGGTGAGTGATTGATGTGATTGATTATTGGTGATTAACTGGTTTAGTGTCTGCGGGGCGAGAGAGCCTCACTGTTGCACGGAGAGAGAGAGAGCGACACGCAGCTCTCTGATTGGATGTCAGGTGTTAAAATCAGTCGTAGTTCAGGTCAAACACCCTTAAATCAGCTGCAGGTAACCATGGCAACAGTACAGACAGCCGACTCCAGGACTCCAGGACCCTCCTCAATGACTTTATAATCCCCCAGTGATCTCCAGGACCTCTTCAAGGACCATCTGAGTTACCTCAAGGATTCAAGGACCCTCCTCAATGACCTTATAATCCCCCAGTGATCTCCAGGACCTCTTCAAGGGCCTTTGAGTTTATTCAAGGACCTTTAAAATCCTCTCAAGGACCCTTTGGACCTCCTCAAGGACTCCAAGACCCTCCTCAGATACCTTCTAACCCCCCCAGTGACTTCAAGGACCTCCTCAAGGACTCCAAGACCCTCCTCAGATACCTTCTTAACCCCCAGTGACTTCAAGGACCTCCTCAAGGACTCCAAGACCCTCCTCAGGTACCTTCTAGCCCCCCAGTGACTTCAAGGACCTCCTCAAGGACTCCAAGACCCTCCTCAGATACCTTCTAACCCCCCAGTGACTTCAAGGACCTCCTCAAGGACTCCAAGACCCTCCTCAGGTACCTTCTAACCCCCCAGTGACTTCAAGGACCTCCTCAAGGACTCCAAGACCCTCCTCAGGTACCTTCTAACCCCCCCAGTGACTTCAAGGACCTCCTCAAGGACTCCAGGACCCTCCTCAGGTACCTTCTAACCCCCAGTGACTTCAAGGACCTCCTCAAGGACTCCAAGACCCTCCTCAGGTACCTTCTAACCCCCAGTGACTTCAAGGACCTCCTCAAGGACTCCAGGACCCTCCTCAGGTACCTTCTAACCCCCAGTGACTTCAAGGACCTCCTCAAGGACTCCAAGACCCTCCTCAGATACCTTCTAACACCCCAGTGACTTCAAGGACCTCCTCAAGGACTCCAAGACCCTCCTCAGGTACCTTCTAACACCCCAGTGACTTCAAGGACCTCCTCAAGGACTCCAGGACCCTCCTCAGGTACCTTCTAACCCCCCAGTGACTTCAAGGACCTCCTCAAGGACTCCAGGACCCTCCTCAGGTACCTTCTAACCCCCCAGTGACTTCAAGGACCTCCTCAAGGACTCCAGGACCCTCCTCAGGTACCTTCTAACCCCCCAGTGACTTCAAGGACCTCCTCAAGGACTCCAGGACCCTCCTCAGGTACCTTCTAACCCCCCAGTGACTTCAAGGACCTC